GACGAGTCTTGAATTGTGGAGCGAATCAGCCTGAACTTCGTATTAACGTCAAACGGCTGCAGCACAACGCGAATTAGCCGTCGTCTTTTGGTGAGATTGACTTACGAATCTCTTCATCGTGTACTTGCCTACGAGACGAAAGTATTCATAACACATAAATCGTGAACTGGATAAACTTAGATCGAATATAAAAGCCGCATTCCCCATATTTCGTTTAAGGTAATGAAGGGACTGGCAATTGAATTTTCCCACAAAGAGAAAGGAGGCGAAAAGTGTGAATTTCAATAATACTAGCGTAGTTGCATTCGGTCGCTTACGGTAATTTGAGGACTAATATGCTCATAAATGGCAGTTTACATACCGTCAACATATTTTATAAAACAATTGCACCCATTCTAGGTCGCATAAATTGACGAAAGAATGATAGTCGAGGGTTTCCACAGTGAGATGAGTAGGCCTCTCGTTTATTGTGCAGTTCAATTAACCTTTATATACTATATCTTTTTCTTTGCCCTTTTCTGAATATATTTTTTAAAAGGCCAACTCATCTGATTGTGTGAAAGTCCAACTGTAAGTCCTTCATCACTTTATGCGCCATGGGGCGCCTAGATTCTTAGGCTTCCGAGTTTGACTAGAATATGAGATCAGTATCCTGGCAATGCTATGATCAGACCTCACTATCCCATTTAAACACACTTAGCCTTACTCACCAGCAGGTCTTCTCCTCTCGACACAGCTGCACTTTCTGTCCTACCTCATTGCCTCATCGGCATTCTTGACGGGATTCGAACTCGGATCGTGCCCAACCATTGGCAACCACAAATGTCAACAGGTCAAATTTGAATTTGTCATTGAAAACGATGACACTACTTATCATAGATGAGAGTAGTCTGCAGGAGATCAATTATAAATGAAGTATATTCACCCTATTTCGTTTATGGTAATGAGGAGACCACTATTTGACATTTCCCACAACTATTTGAGTAGAGTATACGCTTCCCTTGAATTTAACATAACCTTGCTTTCCCAAATGTGTTCCCATCCAGAGTTCGACTGTACCTTCAACCTCGTTTAGGTCTCATCAGCACCCTCAGCGGGACTCGAGTCATACCAGTTCAGTGCATAATCCCCCCACCGGTGCCCTTAGGTCAGAGGAAAGATGTGAATTTCAAGGAAGACCAGACATAATCACATTAAATAAAATAGAGTAAATACATCTCATATAACTGAGCTACTGATAGTCTCGAAGCCGTACTCATAAACGAAAAATAAGTCACTTATAGTTTAATCTGAAGTATGAAGACCATGATGGTGTGACCTTTTGCATAGTCGCAGTCTCTTTTTGTTGTATACAAGTTGTTTGGCCTTGTTTTCGCAACATGGTCATGTTGGTAGGAAGACTTAGAGCAACGCACCTAGTCCGGAGTCCATTGTATGCATCATCATTTCCACAGTCGGGCCGTGGACATGGTACATTTCCAGACGTCTCGTCCGTCTGCTGACCCACACAGCATCCATCCATCCATCGAACCGCTGGAGTCGAACCGATCCAAAGCAGCACCATCTACAGACAGATGGTCAAAGAGAGCCAAGCCTGCTCAGCACATCCCATTTGATCGCATCTCTTCGTTTGATTACTCATGCACACACACACATCTACTCACAGATGCACATACAACATACACCAACGTACACAGACACAGACACAGATATTGAAACACACTCTCAGGTTCACTCAAGCACACAGACACGTACATACGAATGAACCAATGAAAGTGAACTCATTTAAGCACATGACAAAACGGCTCCGCTAGAAGTGAGTCCATTGTGTCTGTTAGTGAGAAGTTGGTGGCTGGTAAAAGAGCGTAGCACTCTTCTTATTGAGCAAAAGGACTACTTGTTCGAGTCTCCACGAGTACAAGACAAACCCACATTACCAAACCTGATCCCGATCCCGATCTGGATCAACATCTCCTCCCATCAGTCTCATCTGTCGATGCGACGACCTGCAAGTGTAGAAACTGAATAGTGGCCCATTGACTAGACCTTTTCGAGTGAAATTCGGCTACCAATCGGTGGCATAAATTGGCAAAACCTCATCTGCCAGCTCTCCCACCCAACCCACTACTGTCAATATGGTTGGCAGTGAGTTCATTGACCTCTTCACTCGCTTCAGCAATCAGCATCGAGTCGCCATCGAGGACCTTGGCGATCGGATCAACCAGTTCACTGTGCTCATCTTTCTATTGGCCGCAATTGTGGTTTCTGTGAAGCAGTACATGCTCAACGCGATCTCCTGCTACGTTCCCATATCGCCGACAGGCAGTGACTTTCCCAAGTTTCTCTCCGACTACTGCTGGGTGCATGGTACCATTCCGTTGCGGTCTAACGAGCCGATGCCAAGCAACCCACGTGTTTGGGATGAGTTCGACAAGTACAGGCGGATAAGTAAGTCATATCAACCTCTACAGGTTTGGTGATCTCATTTCTCACCTGTTCGCTATCCTTTGCGCCGGAAGAGCGCCCTGTTAACTTGGTCGCTCCCCTGTTACCAGGTGACAACTTCAGCGCCTGCATGAAGGCAGCAGCCTAACCCCATACCCGATTGAGAGGAGTACAATTTTTAGGTGTTATGGCAACAGGTTTTTGCTTTGTTCATCATGTGTTTCAATCTTTACACTGGACAACGTAAGACTGGAAACTGTTGGTGGCGGAATGGCAGAAAAAACCGACATCCCCGTACCAAAAAGGTGGGCGATATCTTCTTTCGTGATGATCGCGGCGTCAGGTTTATTTGTGCTAACCTTAAGGGTAAAATGGTTGCATGCTACAGGGTCTTTCTCCTCTCTTTCAACGGCGATAGATCACTGTCTCTTCGACCAACATTAATTAGAAGATAAGCTCAAACCAGCTGAGCAAAGTTAAGTTTGAGCGAAAGATAGTGAAATTCCGTTGCTCAGCTTACTTCCATTTCGAGTGAAAGTATTTGGTAAAGAGATTCGAAAGTCGATTCCACCAGAAGACGACGGCGGACTCCTTTTGACCTGGTGTCGACTGGCTTTACTGGAACATTCTTGTTAAGGCTGTTTTCGAGGTAATCTGCTTTGATTCCGGTGAAAAGGTGCTAAGCTTTTGTTCGTCATATCACGAGCAGCATCAAAACAAGGTATCATTCATACAACCAAATTCAAGCTGACGAGTCAAGAAAACTCACCGGCACATCCCTAAAAAGCAGTAAATATACTCCATATATGACCTCTTTGATGAGATATAAAGTGATTTGGTTAGTTACAGTCTTCTTTACTCATCAGCTTGAATTTGGTTGTGACGATGGTACCTTGCTCTGACGATGTTGGTCATATGACGGACTTAGCGGAATCGAAAGTAATTAGCTCGGAAACAGCGTCAACGTGAAGGTTTCAGTAAAGCCAAGAGAAATCCGCCATCGTATTCTGGTGGAATCGATCTTGGAATGTCTTCACTAAACACTTTTTCTCGAAATGCAAGTAAGCTCAACAATTTTTGAAGCCAGTGATTTTTGCGAAACCCAACTTTTCCTTGCGAAATTCTGCCTCCATTCCGAATTCGTACGCATTTACTGACTTGTGGCGGCCAGCAGTCTCCAAGTTTAGGGACTACAGAAAGGATCATGTTGCATGTCTTTACCATTGACGGTTAAGTAAAGTGAAGAACAACTGGGTCTAGAAGAATTCCTTGGTGATATATTGTGAAATGGCTTTCCGTTTCGAAGGAAAAGTGATGTGTCCTCATCGAAAAACAAAGGATGATCACCTTGTATAAGAAGTCCTCGGCTCACCGTCCTGAGACATCGATGCACCTGTCCTAAGCTTTCGTATGTACCTCTGCGACAGACATCATCCGAGCAGGAATGCATACTTCACGTAATAGAGCAAAAATATGCAAAATCGAAAGAAAAGATGGCCAGTAGCAACCCTAGTCGCTTTTTTCAT